TATTTTCAAATAAAACATTTCCCTGGTATTTTCTAACATCTTGGTTACTCTTTTAAGAAATTCAATCCAGGACTAATAACCCCCAGATAGAAGGGATCTACATCTATACAAGGGTGCTCTAGAAAACAAGGCATCAGTCCTAGTTTGGACTTTCCCAGATCAGGTCATCTCTGGCTCACAGGAATGACTTAGGAAAGAATGAACCTCAAAGAGTTGGAGGTACAGCTCAGTGGTAGAGCATCTGTATAGCACATGCGAGGCCCTGGGTTCCTCTCCAGCACTAAAAAAGGAAGGAAGAAAGGCAGGAAAAGAAGGTAGAGGGGGAAGGGAAAATAAATGAAAAAAGAGGAAGGATATCAAAATTTAGAGTCTGCCTTTCAGAGTATAGAAGCTGGGTAGGGTTATGAAAAAAGATAACACCAGGAAGAGTATTATATATAAAATGCATAATGTCCCTGAAAGAAAACGTTCCATGGTATCATGTACTACAGCAGGCAGAAAAGATAATTTGGAGCAATTTGGAAAGACTGAAATTAAGAATCTAAAAGGAGAATGATAGAGACCAGAACATCATCTATCCTTCTTCATTTTTCAAATTCCCTTTGCTTGGTCCAATTTGTTTCTCTATAGTTATAGTTCATCTTTTCAATAGCCACTTATCAAGTGAAAAAAGGATTTTTTTTTTTTTTTTTGGTGTGGTCCTAGAGATTGAACATAGTTGGGAGAGAAGTCTACCATGGTTATCTATTTTCATTATCTCATCTAACAAAAGAATTTCATGTGTATCAAAGTTAGACATCTTTAAAAGTAGAATTTTACTGTGTTTTGACATTCTAAAACTGGTAATTTAAATTTTTTTGTAATTCTGGGAGACTTCTAGATTTATCATAAATAATAGTTCAGGCAGTATCTAATATGTAAGGTTTTTTCTTGAAATTTGTTTGTTTGAAATACTCAACACACAGGAAAAAATATATAGGAATATATACTGAATACAGAAAAATATATGAGATAAATAGATTTAAATTCCCAGAAAAGTCCACAAAAACCTATTTAACCTACAATTAAATGGAAATAAAACAGTAGTTTAGTTACCAGAAGGGCCCTTTAATTCCTGAGGTAGAGAATGGAACTGAGCAAAGATATTCTAGCAGCAATGTGAAGGGGCAGCTGGTTTGTTTATAAGTCAAATATCTGTAAGTAGATATTTACTGATTAGAAACCTATTAAATTAACTAAAATACCTATCTAAAGTGAGTTATAAAAACATACATAGCAAACACACACACAGCAATTCCAAAGTACTGTTATTTTATCATTTATTTATTTATTTGTTTTGTCCTTCATACGACCAAGAATATTTTTCAGTAGTTTGTGCCATGGAAAACCCAGTTTCCTAGAAGCTAATGATCCTTTTTACAAAAGACTTTTATGTAGCACATGAAATTGGAATGCAGCGGACTACTAAAAGCAAAGTTAAATAGCTTTTTCTTTTTTCAGTCTTTAAGATACAATTTGTACTTCTAAGGGGGGACAACTGACATAAAATATATAATAATGTCAAAAGTTATTTCATTATGTGAACTTTTTTGATGGTCATCTTTCAAAACCATTGTCTTCATAATTATGATTAAGGAAAATGCTGAGCTAGTAAAAAACTTAGAAATGAATAATAACAGAATTTGCTCCTATGTTCAATTAATGAGTTGGTCCTATCATCACCACAAACATAATTGATTACCAACACGTAAAGCAAAACAAGTTTTAAATAAATTAATAAGGGGATCAAAAGTGTAGCAATGGGCAAAAGCTAGAAGAGGGTAGAAAAAGACCAGGCTATTTGGTGATAATTCTGTAATTCACTTTTATGGTCAAGGTTTTTGCACAAAGTTTTAATATAACACAGAGCTGTTTGATGCTAAGAACAGACTTATTTCACTAAAAAGACAAGCCATACCATATTGACAAATCAATAGGATAATTCTGGAATTCATAAAAAGAAACACTAATCCAGCATAGTAATTTTTGACTTTCAATAAAACACTTCAAATATCTAAATGAATATAGAAATGTACTTTCTGTGGCAAACTGTTCATTACTGAATCATTATCAACCCCTGTTAGACAAAATTTCTCATTCTTGTAATGCATAAAATCATTAAAGTGTTTGAAAGCTCCATCATGAAAGACAATGGCACTTTACAATCCACTATTTCTTCAGGCAAATGTGCTTATGGCTGAACTTAATACTCAAAAAATAACAACATTTGCTAGATATATGATCCTACACATACACTTAATAGTTTTTTTACATGATGACAGCAGTGATAAAATGTGTTACTGCTTTACTGTTAGCTTTAAGTGTTTCTGAGCATTCATCATTCACCACACCACCCCCAAGTGTTACCTGTTGTGACAATTAGGAATCAGCAGTTCAAACGCTTCTAATACTGCCAGACACATATCATCGAAGCTTTAATAATCCAGGTTTTCGGTCTGAAACTCCCTTGAACTATCAAACAGCTAGAAAAGTGAATCTATTTATTTAAACCCTGTCTAGTACTGTAAGCACATATGTTTGGGAATCCAACAGTTCAATTACTTTGGGTCACATCAAGTTAGATTGCCTGTTGCTGTACAGAGCTGCACTTGCCATTTAAGAGACATTCATTTCCAAAAGCAAGCTACTACCATGCAGAATGCTTACTTACAGTAAGTCATTCTACTGAAGTACTCATTTAATCATTTTTCTTGAAAATAAAGGAAATGAGCATGGTAAACCAAGACCTTTCCAAGTACCAGACAAACCCTTTTGAATATATCTGCTTAATCATTTCAGGGTTACTTCTCCCTTTTTAATATGTAAATAAATCCTTTCAAAGTAGGTAGTTAAAACTTGCAACCAAAATCTATGATCTGATTTTGATAGTTAAATCTATTTGATCAACTAAACAAGGTAATTCCAATAATTATTTGAAAACTGAAGAAAGAAACAGGCACATGTTCATAATTGTTCCAAATGAGAAAATGTTACCTCAAACTGAATTACAGATACACTTTTTACAGAATTACAGTCAAGAGCTGCTTATAACAAAAGACTGGCATGCATAATACCTCCCGAACTATATTTAATTTCTACATTTGTCCCCCACAATTTTAATAGTCACCTTAGCTCTCGGTTTTCTGGTGATGCAATTCTACTGGGTCTAAGAGTCATCTCTGTGAGCAACAAATAAAGGTAAGAACATAAATAGAAAAGGGGCAATTTCTTATTTTTCACAATGCAGAGTGATAGCCTCAATAAAGAAGCTTAGTTCAATGCTAATTTACAAAAACATTGATTTTAACTTGCCCTACTATACTTAATATAAATTAAATACTACTTAGGGTCAAGTTAAAATGCAAAAGGAATTTGTTTGGAGGGTCTAGTCTATTTTACTTTGATGGCAAACTCAGTAAGTTTTTTTAAAAAACTGTTTTCCATGACCAAATAATTATTTTGTTTTAAATTCAACTTTGATTTTTACCTGGAATAATATATTTAATGCCATGATTTTCATTTGTGCTTATGTTGAAACAAACTGTGATTTTAAAACCAAGTTTTATTGCTGATTAGTTTTTTTTTACTCTTGTGTCACACTCAATGATTCTGGTTTTAAACTGTCAACTGCCTTAGGCAAAATACACACTAGAACATCAGACTTTGTCTTCTAAACACTACAGAGGACAGAAGAAAGAAACAAAGACTGTTCAGAGCAAAACCATTTAGAAAGAATCTGCAGACCACCAGGATTTTGGATTTGGGTAATCCACTTAGATTAGCAAAACTGTGTCTCAAAAGGACAATTCTAAGATCACAATATAGGTCATGTCCTTAAGAAACAGAATAAGTAATGAAATCAATGTCAATTACACAATCCTTCCATATTTACATGACACCAATGACAATCAGTAAAACAGATTAAATAAAGCCTTTGTAATGTGCTCAGCCACAGCAATAGCAAAAAGAAAAATAACATCATGAAACACACAGACTCTTTTGAATCAAGTTTTGAAAAAAGGTCAAATTACTGCTTATTTAAAAAGAAGGAGGAGCTGGGGTTGTGGCTCAGTGTGAGGTAGCACCACATTAAAAAAATGAATGAGTGAATGAAATAATAAAATAAAGGTATTATGTCCATGTACAAATAATATTATATATATATAAATAAATTTATTAATTTATATATATAATATATATTTATTATATATATATATATATAAATACTATCCAAATTGGGAAAAAAACCAAAACTTGGGCTTATTTCAGACCAAACAACAATAAACTTTCATTTGAGAAAGGTGGGGTGGGGGGGTGGGGGTGGGATGTTCTGCAAGCAGCAGGGAGAGAGGAAGAATGAAAACCATAAAGGTTTTGCCAAAACATAAATATCAGGTTTAAGTGATAGGTCTTACTCTGCAAAGTACATTTCACTTTTGCAGACCAAACCTTTAAGCATCCTCAACATGAATTAAAGTGCTTAACACAATCTCTACAATAACTAAACATACCATTAGCTTTTAATCAAACAGTGCCAAAAGAAATACTGTCAAATATGAGTAAAATCTGCCTAAAATCACTGTTCTGTCATATTTTTAATTACCACATACATACAACTATTAAGACAAACAGTAAATTACAAGCACCCCTGAAATAATGCTAACCACCTGTCCCAGAAAACAGAAAATATGCAATGCTTTGAGGTAACACAGACACTGTCAAAAGTGAGTTAAAATAACTGTTATTTTCTTTTTGATACCAATAACAACAGTGCATTATCTATAAGAAGATTCCAAATTTCTGGATGCTGTTCTTCAAGCTGAACCCAGGAAAGCCCTAGAAGCCTCTAGAAACTCAGAAAATTTGTTCGGGATACTTACGTGTCCTTCTTGAACAAGGGAATTAAAAATTTCTCTGACCACAGGGACTTTGAGAATACTTGCAGAGAATCACCAACTTACCCATCAGATTTGAGTTCATGAAAGGTGTTGGGGACAAGCCTTCATGGGCCCCTAATCGACTGTCATTCAAGTGATCACTGTAATGAGGGCTGTCTGTAAAACCCTAGGGGGGAAAAAGACCAGAGTATTAAAGAGATTATTTGGTAGTACTAACTGAGCATAAAGACACTCACCTAATTAATACATAGACTTACAAATAGTTATTCCTAACCAAGATCCTCATTTATCATTTAAAAACAGAATAGCATAGTATTCCTTTTACTCCTCCTCTTAAGGTTTTAAAGTAAAAAAAAAAAAATTATTGATTGATCTTAAAGAAAAGTTAAGTTTCTGAAAACAAAACACCATAAACCCAATGTTTTTAATCAGTGCTTCTGACAAGAGAGAGGAGCTATCAAAATTCTATAAACTATTACTAAAATTATCTTTATGATCTCATTACATTCAAAAGGAGAGTTCTATGGATCATTCAATTCTTATAAATTAAAAAAAATGATTATCACTATTCTTTCTCTGCTCTTGCACCTTATGAACAAAGGATTGGGCAATTAGTGTTATTTAAAATACTAAAAATAACCACAATCAGTATATTGGGAATAAATTCTTTCCTAAATGGCAAACAATTATTTAACAAGAAAGGTCTGTTTATATTTCTTTTACTATTTGCATAACAAGTAGAAACTTAACTAAGTAAAAAAGAACAGTTGATAAATATAACCGACTTGACTTAAATGCTTAAGTTTGAAAAAAGAAATTGCAAACACCATGAAGACATTAAAGCTATGTATGAAGACATACACAGCTATTACTAAATTTCTCTTTATAGCTTACCAGATTTTCTAAAAGCAAAACACGGGCAAGATAAAGTTTACAAAATCCCTATTAATGAAAAACTCCTGCTTCTCAGACTCTTACACAAAGTATAGTATCACCTCCAAAATCATATTGATTCTAAACAAGTATCTGAATAACAGTTAATTGAAAATGCATATGATACCTATCCCTTTGCCAATTTAAAACCACATAGTAAAGATAAAAAAAAAAAAAAACACTTAGAAGAGGTCCAAGTAAGAGAGAAAATTGCTCTGCCTCACAGAAACCAGAAACCACCCAGAATCCCCTGGGACTATAAAATCAGTCACTGAACATTTATCATTATCCAAACTGCAGGCTAACATTCAAGAAGACATTAATGGGGTTGAAACAGGCCTCACTATCTTTGTAAGCATGTTCACAGTTCAACCAAAGGGCTAGGAACCCAGAGCTAAGTAACTATCAAATCATTACAACTGCTTATAGATGCATGTCACAACTCCTTCTGCCATGCAGTTTTAAAACTATTCTTCTGAGGGTGCTAACTCCCAAATGAATCTGTTTCATTTCTATCTTCTTTAGAATCACTGATAACACATGTGACAAACATAAGAAGTATGTGGGTAAGATTTACAACTTGGTAATGACCACAAGGGTGCCCTCAAAAACCACAACCCTAGTCCCAAATGGGACAGCCAAAAGCAGCAGAAGCTGTATACAAAATAGGATGGTTTCCAGAAAGACCACTCCATGAAGTTTACTTTTATTCTTAAAATGAACTTGCAAATATCTGGATATTCTCTCTGATACCCATTCCTACTGCCATATTTAGCCACAAGGTCAAAATAATGCATCAAAATCTATAAAACACTTACTGAAATAATGCTTATTATCATAAACAATATTACCCTGGAAAAATGCTAACTGCAATGTGTTTGTACATCAACTAATTGTTCACAGTACATTTGAAAGCCAAAGGTTAATTAAATGATTATGTTCTCAGCATTCCTCAATTTTACTTCTCTTCATTCTAGTATTAGTAAAAGAGCTTTCTTTTCCTTTCACAACTATGAAAACACTGAAGTTGACTTACAATTATTTCCTAAAGCACCTGCAAACAAATAATCTATTTTAGATACATATTTATGATCTGTCAAATTATTGTACATAGTTTATTAACTTTATAGAGTATCATTTAACATGGCTGACTTTCTGTCCCCAGACCAAAGAATATTTAACTTTCAACCATACAATATATAGTAAATACTGTCCTTTATTCACACACAACCACATAATCCAGGAAATAGAACAGAATTTATTACAATATTATTTCCCAGCATTCAACTGCTTGACAATTCCACATATAAAATCTTGGACTGGCATGGTACATCACAGAGTAGCAGTCAAAAGTATGAGCTTTTTTTTCCTTTACATATAAGATTTGAATATGAGCCCTCAATAACTGTCATTTCATTTATTATATGCAAATACTATTTTTTTTAAAAAAATTTTAATTGTAGCTGGACAAAATACATTTATTTATTTATTTGTTCATTTGTTTATTTATTTATTTTTATGTGGTACTGAGGATCGAACCCATCACCTCACATGTGCTAGGCGAGCACTATATCGTTGAGTCACAACCCCAGACCATATATGCATATACTATTAATCCATATATTAAAAAATAAGGCATAATTGCCAGATTTAAAATAAATATTAATAGAAATTTAAACAGTACCCCCTCACATATTTAGAGGCTCATCTTAATGAATACATTTTCCTTTAAAATCTATTGCCTAAGAAGCAAGAAAGAAATAGTTCTTCGTCTACAAATGCAAGCTGCTATTGGAGAAGGGAACAGAGACAGGACTCAGAAATGCCTGTCATAGTGTTAGAACAAAACCTCACTTCAAAGTCTATTTGAGATTACTCACTATCCATATTCTACAAAGTTGTTGTGATCCTACCTTGAATATAACTTTTAGTGAGCCAAGATGAATACTTAGAAATAATTTACAAAGATTACCATAGGCCACATTTTTACTGTCAGTTCTAGAAAGATCCATAAATATCTATTAGCTTGTTAATGAATCATCCAGCTGGATGATACCTAGAGTAGTGCTTTGCAAACTTGAAGAATCCTACCCCACAACACAGACTTTGTTAAAATACATGTTAAGATGCATAAGGTTGGAGATGGGGCCTGAGATGCATTTCTAAAGGGTAAGTTGATACTGCTAGTTCATGGATAACATTTCTAATAGCAAGAACTTAAGACAGTATGGAAATAAAGATCTCTTTCAAATATGGAAAAGAAATGCTATGGTTTGGATATGAAGTATCCTCCAAAATCTCCTCTGTTAATGCAGGAATGTTCAGAGGTGAAATGATTGGACTGTGAGAGCTGTAACCTAGTCAGTTCATTCTACTTTGAATGAACCAAATGGTAATTGTAGACAGATGGAGCGAGGCTAGTCTATCTGCTTTCTGGCACCATGAGCTGAACAGTTTTCTGCCATGATATTCTGCCTCACCTCAGGAACAGAGGAATGCTGTCAGCCTACACTTCCCCATTGAAACCGTGAGCCCAAATAACACTTCTGTCTTCTAAGTTGTTCTCCTTGGGTATTTTGGTCACAGCCATGGAAGCCTGACCATGTGATTCAGAAGCCTTTGGAGCTGGTTTGTGAGAGAAGTTTGCAAAAGTATGAAGATGCAGGCTGGAGAAGCCTTAGAATTTTTTTAAGTAGACCTTATAAAACATCAAAATGCAGACAGTAGAACTGGGGTTGTAGCTCAATGGTAGAGCACTTGCCTCGCAAGCATGAGGACAATCCTCAGCACCACATAAAAATAAATAAATAAAAATATTGTGTCCATTTACAAGTTAAAAAAAATTTTTTTTAAATAAAGATGGTAAAGACTGTGCTCATGAGATTTCAGAGAAAATATGATTTTACTGTGAATTGGACTAGAGGCCATTCATGTTAGATTCTAGCAAAAAACTTGTCTATGTTTTGTATACGTTCTTAGATTGTGTGATGCTGAATTTTAAAATGATACACTCATTATTCTGGTAGAGAAAAATTAAAGGCTGCACAGCATTCAGTCAGTGGCATGGATTTTGCTGGTAGTTTTTAGCCAGGTTTATTGTGAGAAAAAGGAGCAGAAAACAGAGCTGAAGGATTTTTTTAATAATGTTATTGTATTATTTATTTATTTAATATGGCGCTGAGGCTCAAATCCAGTGCTCACACATGCTAGGCAAGCACTCTACCACTGAGCTACAGCACCAGCCCTGAACTGAAGAATTTTTAATTTTTTTATTTGTCCTAATTAATTATTCCAGACAGTAGAGTACATTTTGACACATCATATATAAATGAAGTATAACTTCTCATTCTGCTGTTTGTACATAAAGTAGAGTCATATAATCCTACACGCACATAGGATAATAATGTCCTATTTAATCTATTAACATTCCTACCCCCATACCCTCTCCCCTTCCTTCATTCTTCTCTGTCTAATCCAAAGTATATCAGAGAAAACATTTGTCCTTAAAGGATTACTTCATTTAGCATGATATTCTCCATTCCCCAGTTCCATCCATTTACCAGCAAATGCCATAATTTCATTCTTCTTTAAGCCTGAGAAATATTCCATTGGGCATATATGCCACAATTTCTTTACCTACTCAGCTGTGGAAGGGGACCTAGTTTGGTTCCATAGTTTAGATTTTGTGAATTAAGATACATAAACATTGATGTGGCTCTATCGCCACAGTACGCTGATTTTAAATCCTTTGGGATTATGCTGAAAAGTGGGATAACAGGGTCAAATGGTGGTTCCATTTCAAGTTTTTCTGAGGAATCTCCATACTGCTTTCCATAGAATTTGAACCAATTTGCAGTCCCACCAACAATGTGTCAGTGTACCTTTTCCCCCACATCCTCGATAACATTTATTGTTGCTTGTATTCATGATAATTGCCATTCTGACTGGAGTGAAATGAAATTTCAGTGTAGTTTTGATTTGCATTTCTCTAATTGCTAGAAACGTTGAATATTTTTTCAAATATTTGTTGACTGATTGTATTTCTTCTTCTGTGAAGTGTCTGTTCAGTTCCTTTGCCCATTTATTGATTGGGTTATTTGTTTTTTTGGTATTAAGTTTTTTGAGTTCTTTATATATCCTGGATATTAATGCTCTGGGATGCATGTGGTAATTATTTTCTCCCATTCTGTAGGCTGAGCTGAAAGATTTTTAAAACTTGCAGATTTGGCCAGA